AAAATAAAATAAAATAAAATAAAATAAAATAAAATAAAATAAAATAATAAATAAATGTAGCCAGTTCCCAGCTGGTTGAAGCCAATGTCAAATCAAAGGTAGAACAGAGAATAGATTACTACTTACTACTGTGGTGTCTTCGGACACTTCCACTTTTTTAATCTTACTAATAATTAGACTACTACAATTTCCCTTCCTTAAATAAACCTTTCTTTCATTAATTTTCCCTCTCTTTGTTAACATGAAATCAGGTGCTTATTGATAGTTATACCTTGCATTCTTAGCTGACTGGTCTCCAATGCCTTTTAACCTTGGAAACCACAAAAGATTATAAGATTTCAGAGACTGGTTTTCAGTTCCATTATTATAATCCATTGGACTAAAATAATGGATTTGGCTTTTTTAGTGAAGAAGCTTGAAGGACATATGTAGACATAATGGAAGAATAAGTGGGACTATCTTAGGTCTAATTTTCTCTTACCTCCGCCATAAATATGGCACAAATAGGGAAAACGCCATAAATTTCCAAAGCCTACAGCAAATCCAATGCAGCTTAAAAGGTATTGGGTTTTATTTTCCCAATGTGGCCTTTTGTCATCTTCAGTGATTATACCCTCAAAAGACACCTTTGACATCTTCACTGCCTTATTTTTCCTTTATCACCTCTTTCTCTGAGGTAAATAGCAGCATAATCTTTGAACCTGATTATTTGCCTGACAGATTCTGAACAATGGATGTGGAACTTTCCATCTCTGACATCACACCAAAGGAATCTAAGAATACTTAGCAACTTATGTACACACAGAACATTAGAAATGTTTGGGCACATAAAGATAATGAAAGCTTCTGTTCTCTTTTTTAAGGATCACTTTAAGCTTATTAGGTGACAAATTGATTTATGTGGACCAGTGATGGGATTCAAAAAATTTTACTACCGATTCTATGGACGTGGCTTGGTGGGCATGGCTTGGTGGGAGTGGCAGGGGAAGGATACTGCAAAATCTCCATTCCCTCCCCACCTCACTAACCTGCTTTCCAGCTTTGTTCTCCTATCCAGGGCAACAAAAGAAGACCCAGCCAATCAGCTGGGACTCGGGAGGCAGAGAATAGAAGGGGCGGGGCCAGTCAGAGGTGGTATTTGCTGGTTCTCTGAACTACTCAAAATTTCCACTACCAGTTCTCCAGAACTGGTCAGAACCTGTTGAACCTCTGATGTGGACTATGCATAGTCCTCATAAATCAACTGAATCTAATGTGATAAGTTTAAATATGTTTAGATGTTGCAGGAATGACCTTAGGTAGTTCTTTGTGGAAAAAAACCAATATAAATGTGGATAATCTTGCAGAATATCAAAAGTGTGATGTCATAAACTTATTCCATATTAAAATGTGGCAAAGACTTTTGGTTGTTTTGAATAATAGCTTCCAAATCTAAATGAAATCTACAAATCCAGTGCAATCATAGGTCCAACTCATGGAAGTTAAAGAAGTTATAGTTAGCATAGAGACACAAGCAATTCAAACACGGGCCTGGCAAAGAGAAGACTACCTCCACAATGTATGTTTTCATTTGCTTACTTTGGGCGCATCTTGAACTAGAGTCTAGAGTTTGTTCAGCAGTTTTTTTTTCAGCTGAAATAGACAAAGCTGTTCCTGAATTTTTCACAACATTTTTTAAAAAGAAGAATAAAACATTGATTGGCCAGTCACAACTGATGTTAATAGGGGACAAGAGGTCCAGTCCTCAGCCACCATTTGTGGATGCCACAGGGCTTGGTACTTTCTCCGCTCCTTTTTAATATCTACACGAAACCATTGGGTGAGATCATCCAACACCAGGAAATGAGATATCATTGATAGGTACACAGCTCTACATCTCCATCCCTGGTGATCCAAGCAATGCTGTGACTGCCCTTTCTCAGTGCGTGTGTCAACTCATAAAACCTTTTGTATACAAATTTTATAGTTGTCAACAGAAAGAAGCGGGGGAGTTTTAAAGAGCAGGCAGGAATGTGGAATTGAAAATACATTCCATTCATATTTTCCTCAAAGACTGATTAGCTCAGTGGTTGCCAGCCAGTGGCCAGGGACCACTGGTGGTCCACGAGAAAATTTTGGTGGTCCACAAAAGAGAAATGTCACCCCCAAAGCAATTAATCCAGGCTGCTTCTTTCCACTTCTTTCTTCTTCTGCTTTTGGCTGCACGCAAGGAAAACAGCAAAAGTCTCTCTTTCTCTCCCTCAAACTCTGCCAGAAATGAGTCTTTGGGACCCTGCAAGGCCTCTTGCTCCAAGAGGCATGACAAGTCTCACAAAGACTCATTTCTGGTGGAGTTTGGGGGAGAGAAAGAAAGACTTCTGCTGCTTCTGCTGCTTTCCTTGCATGAAGCCAAAAGTCTTTCTCTCTCTCGCTTTCTCTCTCTCTCTCTTCCCCTGAGAACAGAGCTGGAGACAATATCCTGCAATCTCAAATGAAGAATGTTCAATAGGTAGGAAAACAGGGTGGGGAATTTTCCTGCAGACTTTTGGGGGGATTTTCCCAGGGTCTCTGGTCTGTGGGATTTCAAATTATGAATTTGGTGGTCCCTCAGGCCCAAAAGGTTGGCGAGCCCTGGATTAGATGACTGAAGCATCTGCCATGCAAAAATCTAATTGGAGAGCATGATTGATGACTCTTGGCTATGGACGTGTTTCATTGGATGATACACCCAGGGGGGTGGGGGGTGGGAAAGGAGGGTCAAGGGTGACAATGAATTATGTATCTCAGACTTGGCTATGCTGGAATGTTAACTTCTAATAAATCCTCTTTAGTTTTGGGAGTGTGGCTCGAGGCTCATGATATAATTGGAGTAACTGCCGGAATCCTGACAGATAGCCAACTCTCATAATTAATCACTGGGGTGCCTGCATCCCGGCCTCTTCCATCACTCCCCGATATCTGGGGTGCGTGGAGAGAAACTCAGGCAGCCATGGCATAGGCCATCAGGAGAAAACTTCGCTTCCAGACAGAAGCAAAAAGAAACTGGTAGCATAATTACAGAATGAGGACACCTCCCCATCAACTCCAAAGAGGAGAAACCTGCTCCATTAGGAGGAAGAAAATCAGATAAGTACCTGATGGAATCCCTGGGGAGATCCATAGAGCAGCTGAGGGAGGGATCTGAACAGGCCACCATTTGAGATGATGGCCTGTCCTGCCACCCAAACCAGAGGGGAATTTTCACAGAGCTATTTGAAATGGGGACAAGCAGGCAAGACCAACCTGCAGACAACCTAACTACGAAACTCAAAACCAAACTGCTAGCAGACCCCTGGTTCTGGGACAATCAACACATCTTGACAAAAAGAGATAACTTGTGTGGAAGGGGACAAAACTCTATGTCCCAGAATCCCTACCCACCCTAGTTCTTCAGAGGAGCCACAATGCCAAACCAGCAGGCCACTTTGGGTTCTTAAAGACTTTACACTTGGCTTGGAGGCAGTTCTGGTGGCCTGGCATAAAGAAAGACGTGGACAATTATGTGAAAAGTTGCATCATCTGTGCCACGATGAAAAATGACCAGGAAATCCCCCCGGACTGCGACAAATGGTAGTGGAGCCAATGAGGCCCTGGGAGGAGATTACAATGGACTTCATAGTGGAGTTGCCAAAAAGTGGGGGAAACACGGTCATCTGGACTGTAATAGACTTATTTTCCAAACAGGTGCATTTCATACTTTGCAGAGGACTAACCTCAGCCCGCCAGTTAGCCACACTGTTCCTGAAGCACATCTACCACCTGCATGGAATACCACGGAGGATTATCTGAGACAGAGGGGTCCAATTCACAGCCAAATTTTGGAGGGAGTTCCTGCAGTCTATTGTGTCATCCCAGGTCTTAGCTCGGACTTTCATCCAAGCACCAATGGGGGGGCAGAGAGATTGAACGCCATGGTAGAGCAGTATCTGAGATGCTACATGAATTATCAGCAGTCCAATTGGGCGGACCTCCTGCCTTTCATGGAGGTTGGGTACAATAATGCTGTTTACAGTAGCACGGGACTAACCCCCTTCAACGTAGTGAGTGGCATGGACTTCGTCCAATGCCTCAGTATCCAAGGGACCCCTCCTCCTCAGTCAGCCTGACCGATTGGATGTCAATGCTGAAAGCAACTTGGGAGAATGTCAAAAAAGCACTGGCAAAAGTGGCACAGACCTATAAGAGACAGGCAGACAAACACTGAGCCCCACAATGACCATTCCAGTTGGGGGAGAAGGTCTATCGCTCCATCAAATATCTGAGGTTAAGACTCCCTAGCAAGAAATTGGGGCCAAAGTTCACGGGACCATTCCTCATAGTAAAGATCATCAACCCAGTCACGGTGCAAGTGAAGTTACCCTGATTGTTAGGGAAAATACACCCAGTATTCCATAGTAGCCTATTAAAACCCGTGGTTGGATCAACACTGAGGCCCCTATCTCGTGAGCCCCCAGATCCCATGGTCATAGGAGGTCAAACCCATTATGAGGTGCAGTGAATCTTTGATTCGAGGTGGCACAGGAGACAACTCTAATATTTAATCAAGTGGAAGGGCTACCCCTTATCAGAGGCATCATGGGTAAAGAGTAGGAACGTTCAAGCCTATCGCCTTGTAGCAAGGTTCCATGCAGGAAATTCAACCAAGCCTGGGTGGGTTTTGTGAGCATAAGCTTCCATATCTGCAATCAATTTGTTTTTGTGTGTGCTGTACAGTCACCTTCAAGAAGTGAGGGGAGCTGAATGTGAACTCATAAAACATTTTGTATACGCGTTTTATAGTTGTCAATAGAAAGAAGGGGGGGGAGTTTCAAAGAGCAGGCAACAGTGTGGAATCGAAAGTACATTCCAGTCATATTTTCTTCAAAGACTGATTAGATGGCTGAAGCTTCTGCCGCGAAAAAATCTAATTGGAGAGCATGGTTGATGACTCTTGGCTATGGACGTGTTTTATTGAATGATACACCCAGAGGGGTTGCGGGGGAAAGCAGGGTCAAGGATGACAGTGAATTACATATCTTAGAGTTGACTACGCCTAGGCAAATGCCGGAATGTTAACTTCTAATAAATCCTCTTTAGTTTTGAGAGTGTGGCTTGAGGCTCATGATTTAATTGGCGTAACTGCTGGAATCCTGACAGCCTGGAGGCTGTAAACTGTCTGGATGGGGGACAACAGTCTTAAGCTGAACACAGGCAAGATGGAGTGGCTGGGGCTACAAGGGATCTCTGGATCCAGTGTTTTATCATCATTAACTCTGGTTGGGGTTGCACTAACCCAGGCAAATTTGTTGTGCGACTGGGGAGTCTGCTGGAAGATCCTGTAAGAAGACTTCATCACTATTCCATCGGTGTGTATTTTAGTGCAGTTTTTAATAGTTTAATGTTGGTTTGTTTTAATCTGTTCACATTTTAACTATTTTTCACTTGTTTCTATAATTTGTAAGATGGGTGGCACAGTAATAAATAAATAAATAAATAAATAGCTTTCTTGTGCAAGTATAATTTCTTTAATAATATATTATTTGAACATAAAACTTGTATCTGTGCTACAAGGTGGGGGCTCAGAGGGAGAGAAAACACGACATCCTTGACATCTGTATTACCCATTTTCTAATGCAGC